TGGGGAATTCTGGGAGTTGAAGTCCAAACATCTTAAAGTTGCTGAGGTTGAGAAACAGTGTTCTAGTCAATCTGTGCTTGGTGAATGGCCACACCTACCATGGTGGCCATTTTGTAGGTATGCCCACTGCATCCTCCCCAAATTCCAAACAGGCCCCTCAGCTCAAAAAAACAAGGACGCTTCTCTCTTTTTTAAATGCCCCAAAAGAGCAAAAGGAAAATAGGTTCTCCTTGTGGGTCTTGTGACAATTCTGGGCTTGGAGGATCTCCCATAGCTTCAGGCATGGCTCTTACCTCCTCCCACTGGTGAATGTAGCGAATAAGACGAGAGAGACGCAGCAGCCGCAGGAGACTCAAGATCTTGGTGAAGCGGACGATGCGCAAGGCGCGAGCGGTCTTGTAGACCTCGGAATCGATGCCTTTCTCCACAATGAGGAAGATATAATCCACAGGAATAGAGGAGACAAAGTCCACCACAAACCACGTCTTCAAGTACTTCTTCTTGATCCGCTCGGGATCCAGGATGATCTCCGTATTGTCCTCGATGACGATGCCCGTCCGGAAATTCATAACCAGGTCCATGAGGAAGAAGGTGTCAGACACCACGTTGAAGACGATCCAGGGAGCTGTGGTCTCGTCTTTGAAGAAGGTTATGCCGACAGGAATGATGATCAGGTTGCCCACCATGAAGAGCAACATGGTGAAGTCCCAGTAGAACCTGGAATGAAAGGAAGAACATGGGGATCAAGACATGTGAGAACACTGGAGCAAACCCTGGGTCAAAGGTAGACTGTGGTTATATTTGCCCACCACACCTTTAACACATTAATGAGTGGATGCACTCATACAACATACTAAACTTGGTCTGTGTTTACCTTAAGTTTGCCTTTTTTTCAAGAGGATGTAGGGTACGTTGTGTGAACCAAGAATGTTAGTTTCTGTTTTGGTCTTGGGCGAATCCAGAAAATAGGTCAACTCACTAACTATATTAAACGTGTTTGGGTTACATCCTTTCCTCCAGAGCAAATGCAGCATACACAGTGCGTCCTCCTCCAATTTTCCCCCAAAACAACTCTGTGAGGAAGGCTGGGCTGAAGGCAACTTGAACCTGAGTTTCCCCAGTCCTACTCCACACTGGTATTGTCTGAAAGGAGACCATGTCTACATTTTGCCCAAAAAGAACTAGCAGGTTTTCTCTTCCAGTCTCTGTTAGGAGAACTAGTTGGCTAGTTTTTCTCTCTAGAACTGCACATTGACTTTTTTCCCTTCCCTTTAAGTAAAGAAACAAGGAAAAAAAGGCGGGGGGGGGAGGGTTGCCTTCCAGAAGTGTAACTTTTCTCTTTTAGGGGTTATACAGAATGGTGCTTTTGTTGCCATTAATATTACTAACATCAAACTTAATATTATGCATTTATTTATTTATTAATAAGATTAATAGGCACCCAACTCTAACAGTGTGACTCTGGGTGGCGTATAGCACTAAATAAATTAATAAATTAAAAAACTCCCACCAGATCATACATCATCAACAGTAATAAAACCCAACATACCAAGCAACGTAACAAAAAAACGAAAAGGAGACCCTCACTCAACTGGTCCCTAATGCCTGGGGAAGAGCCGAGTCTTAATAGCTTTTCTAAAGGCGAGCTGAGTTGGGGCCCGTCATATACTGGGGAGAGAGATGGTTCCAGAGAACAGGGGCAACTGCAGAAACAGCACGCTTCCTAGGCCCCATAAGATGACAAGATTTAAAAGAAGGCATCTGGAGCGTGCCCTCTGTGTGGGAACAAATGGAGCAAGCAGATGTTCTTGGGAGAAGGTGGCCTCTCAAGTAATCTGGTCCTAGGCCATGTAGGGTGTTAAAAGTGATAACCAGCACCTTCAATCACACCCAGAACTCTACTGGAAGCTAGTACAGCTTGCAGAGTAGTGGTGTTAAGTGGGCATAACACGCTGCACCCATAACTACATGCGCTGCTGCATTCTGGACCAAGTGAAGCTTCTGGATGGTCTTCAAGGGCAGCCCCATGTAGAGCGCATTGCAGTAGTCCAGTCCGGACATGACTAAGGCGTGGGTGACCATAATCATTTGAATAATAGAAAGGGGGGGAAGAGTCTGATAATCCAATAATAAACAGAAGAACTCCAAAACCCATATTGCTCAACAGTCTTCTTCCTCAAGGCAACATACTTCAGCAACCCATCACTGCACATCAGGTATGGATTCCTCTTCCTGTGTTGTATAATATTTTTGGCCAAACTCCATGTCCCCTGAGTCAATAATTCTTGATATCTTGATAAACTCTAAATGCTGCGGATGTAGTCAAGAAGAATATACTCATCTTTAGATCTGGGCAACTGATCCGGAGTCATATTCGCAATTCTGTGGAGGGTGGCTCCGTCATATGACAAAATATTGAGCTAAAGTTCCAATTCCTGAATTATATCTCCAACAGGAAGATCATTGTGAATAGCCCTTATTAAGTGTTCTCTGTTGTATTAACCTCATTTTAAGAGCACCGGAAACTAATTTCATGTTGTTCAGAATGACCCGTCATTGATTCAGCATGATAGCACATTATTCTACAGTTTGCGAAGGCTTCAACAAAAATTTTTTAAAAAAACACCATCGAACATTTGCAGTGCTGAAAATTGCAATTTTCCTGCTGAATTCTGGGGGTTTTAAGTTGCCCATTCCTCCCTTAAGTGAAGCGTCTGAGTATCAAACATGATTTTCTGCATGCAAAGTAGGTGTTCTCGTACCAACCAAGGGAAATAGAAGAATCTGTCCTGAATTCCATCAACTTACATTCATCTAGCCCAATTTTGTCCATTACGGTGGGTTATAACAGTTCTCTCCCAAGCTGCGATCTAATCTTTGTAACTAGAGATGCAGAGGTCAACCTAGGTGCCCCTGAGCATCAAAACAGGTTCTATGCTGTTGAGCTATGATGCTTCCCTGAAACCTCCAGCTAGAAAGACAATCTACAACACTCTTAACTTGGTTTCTGAACTGACCTATTTTTGGGGTCCTCACAACATACTGAACCCCAAACTAACCAACTGGGCTGGATTCACACGCTAAGCCCTCCCCCACACCTAACTCAGATTAAAACCATCAAGCTCAGCAGACTGTACAAAGACAAGTATGAACTGGCTGAGCGTGGTCATCTCCTGTTCGTTCTCCTCCTCCTCCAAGGTCCTTGAAACCCAGATCCTTCCTTTTTATGAAGTCCAAGACAGCAAGTGTACCCAAGGAAGGGAAGACTTGGAATGCCCTCCCTACAAGTCTGGAGCCCCCCTACATTATGGGAGGAATGCAAAAACCTGATTTCCTTTTCAGCCCCCCCCTCCAGAAGTGCATTTGCAGAAAACCCTGTTCCACTTCCCCATCCTGCTGGAAGCCTCGGTGACCTTCTCCAGAAGCCTGCAAGGTCAAAAGCAGATGGCCAAGGTTTTTGAGTCCCACATTAGCCACTGCCTCGGCATCGCTCTACGATGTGTCAGCCAGAATTAAAAGACAGCTTCTCCCTTGTCCTCGATCCACCCCCAAGATGCACATAATGCAAATATGGACAAATCAGAGGGAGCTCGGGAGATACTTTATTTATTTCTTTACTCTTGACATTTTTTCGTACCACCCTCTCACTGCAGTTATAAGAAGATCGTCTGGATTTCTGCAGGAAAGGAAAAAATATTTCCCCCCCACCTTTTTTTTTTTTGCACTGACTTGATCGTTTTGCAATAAACTGGCACAACTACTGGTGTTGAAATAAATATGTACCATTGAAATCACTGTGGGTTGTGGTTTTTCTATTTACCCCCCACTACCTCCACTCCTGTTGGTGTCTTTGCAGGGCATAAAATATTTGCCTGGAGCCATAAAGAGAAGCTGTCATATTTGACTCCCTGCAATCAGAGCTCTTGGAATGGGAAAATTCTTCTTGCAACTGCCAGTCACGTACCGGAGAGAGAAAATTAGGATTTCAAGAATGCTGCGTTGGGTCCTGGATACCCTTCAGATCTCCCCAGTAGCTACCGGTACAATAGAAGCTGTTTCAAAGTGCAGTGCAGAAAACAGGCATGTAAGGACCTCTGTTATTAAAAATTATTATTATTATTATTATTATTATTATTATTATTATTATTTAGAATGTTGCTCCTTCAGACCTACCGGTCTTATAAATCAGCTTTCCACTTCCCACAGTAGCTAACTAGACATCCTTGGAAACAGAGATATCACCCCAGTAGCACCTGCCTACAAGCTGCTGGTTCTTAGTGGTAGACTGCCTCTGTCACTGCAAGTTCCATTTAACTTTATGAGGAACCACAGTAAACTCTCTATGAAACTCTCTAAAGCCCTCTTTAAAAGCCACGCAAGCGGGTGGATCCTACCTAATTTTGGGCTGGTTTTTGCATGCAAAAGTCAATCCATTTGAGGAGGGTGGGAGGAGAAAGAGTATCTCTTTCTGACAAACACGTTCCCCCCAAAAGTGTCATTTTACCTAGATTTGTCATGCCCGCCCTGCATTTTGAAGTTTTTCTTTTAAATTGGGAGGAGGACGCACTGCAAGGATCCTCTGTGAGATGCATCACATTATACCCACCCCTCAACCCTTCCCCGGTGGCAAAATTTAGCCCAAGATTGTGCAACTGAAACTCCCATCGTTAAAAAAGCTGCAGCGTTGCAAAACTTTGAGTGGCGCTTTGGCCCTTCAAATGTCGTCTATCCCTGTTCTTAGTTGGGGGGAGCAGTTTTCCTTTATCGTACAAGAGCCCCACCATGTGCCCCAGTGATGGATGGGGAGGAATGGATAGAAGAAGACTCTTTGGCCCAAGCAAAGCAACTCTAATTCAGTACAAATTTCTGCCACTTTTTGCTCAAAAATGTCTCCAGTTCAATGCCAGTTTGTAAAGTTAACAGAGCACTTTTTTTGAGGAATTGAAAAAAAAAAAACCTCACTTCAAAAAGGTGAAAAAATACAGAGCTAGCTACAATCCATCTTGGTTCATTCTAAGTAGAACAATCCCACTGCCAGTGTGAATTAGTACTAAATCATTGCATGCATGCCTTGGGTCCCATTTCACAGATGAGGAAAACTGAGGCATTGCAGGAAATTCCATCAAGCAGTGCCAGCATTTAGCGGTTACATCAGAATTTGAGCATCACCAACCTCCAGGTATTACAGTCTCCTTTTTGTCTCCCTTTTCCTCTTCCCCTGCCGCTCTCTGAAAAGGAACACGACCAAGTCCCAAGGAGCGTGTTACTTAATATATCCCATTGCACCAGGCCAAAACAAAAACTCAGAAGCTCTTTTTAGAGTCACCCGAAATGGCTATAATTCGTCCTTGGACTGTTGCAAACTACAGCTCCCTCCCTTCCTTAAACTAAGCCTGATCTGTCCACCAGAGCTCCTTTTAGGCATTTAGATGTAGAGCTGCGGAGGGCAGAAAGAATGAATGAAAAAGAAAGGCTGGAGCTAGGCAGATCGCTGTGGGGATCCACCAGGCAGGCAGAGACTGGTAGGGAAGGAAGGAAGGAAGGAAGGAAGGAAGGAAGGAAGGAAGGAAGGAAGGAAGGA